AGGATAGTTAACATAGTTGTTCTACTGTCTTCTATTTCTTTGCTGAAAGAAACTGTCAGTGAGTCCTTGATTAATCAGTATTGCATGTTTCTGTCTGTTTTCATGAGCAACCACTTTGAAGATATCAATATGTAATACAACAAGGATTGTTAATTTCCTACCACTTCGTTTGTAACTCTGTATTGTCTGTACTGGTCTTTTGGTATTTTGTAAAAGTTTGTCTGTCTGTTAATGTTTTCCTCCTTTTATTTTTAAAATAAAAAAAGATAATGAGAGGTTACAAATTTGCAAAAAATCACATTTGAATATGGAATAAAATTTTATTACGCTTATGGATTCAGATGGGATCAATTATAATCGTTTGCATGCTTTAACTCTTAAAACAGTCAATGGATGACAATTAATGGGCTTTTTGCCTTTTTTCTCTTTTTATCAATATATGCTTCAGGTACATAATAAATACATTCATCTTGAGGAATTGATGCATATATCCGAGATCCCTTTCTTCTATATTCTAAAATATTTCTTTCCTAATGTCACCTATGTCTCTTGTTACATCCATTGCTGAATTAGACACAATTGAAATTTGTAAAAAGCTATTTTTGCACTATATTTTGAAAGGCTTTTGTTAATATTTCATAAAATGCTTATTTGAAAACTATCTTTTGTTGATTTTCTTCCATTTTCTAAGGTTGTGAGATTAGCACCAGTTTTACAATTTGCACATTCCAGCATTTCAGTGCTAGGCTCGTTTTCTTTTCCAGGTTCACTAACATGCTCTACAGAACCACCATCAGTAACTGTGATAATCGTCAAGTACCTTGCCTTATTTCAGTATTCACTGACAAAATATTTCCGTGGTTTTGCAATGATGAGAAGACCTGTGAGAGAAAGGACGTAAACCTTAAATAGAATTCTTAAAATGAAGTCATCATAATGGATAACATAAAAGTACAGGACGATTTAATTTTCCTATAGCAAAATGCTCATAGTGTCATTAACTGATAAAAAAATTATATCTTTATATTTTTAAATTATTACCAATGGAATTGTGTTGAGAAGATGATATAGAGATTTAATAACAGATATTTTGTAATCTTCATCCACAGAAAATGAGTATGTTTTGCCTTTAGTAATTACGTTTAATAGAGTCCAAACTTTTTCTGGATTTATTACACTTTCCTACCATATTCTAGACCATCAGCAGTGCCTAGATAGAGATGGTAACATTTTATTAGCAAAAATAGAACTGTTTGGATCTTGTATAGGGACATAAAAAATGACACTATATAAAATACCCCTTGGGCTCTTTTGCCAGATAGGTATCTAAAACAATGTGGTATTTTAATCATTTTCACACATTTTCAATCTCTGGAACTTAAAATGTCATTGATTCCTGATATTGCATTACTGACATTTCCCATGAAATTAACAATATTAGTTAAATATTTTTTGATGCATCTTTTTCTGAACCCATATTATTAGTAAGAACTGATCAGGAAGTAAATTAAAGCATACATGAAGATTTATTAGCATTAAGACAGGCGTAATTTAGATACAAGTATAGTCCACATGCTTCTCAATATACAGATATTCATTTCTCTATATATACATCATTACACTAAATGGAGTATTTACAGAAAATACCACTCACACAAATATTATTCACATACTTGTTTTTCATTGACAAACATATTTTAGATTTATCATGCTTAGGAAATGTCTATGTATACAGAACTGTTCACCAAATAGCCATGTAAAATTCTATGACCTAATTAGAACACAGCAATGTTATATACAGCTGAACATGGAGCGACAAAAATCAAGGTGATGTTGAAGATATCACAGTAAGACCTATTGGTCCTGCTCTTTGGAACCTGGAATTCTATGCTTTTAAGTTTTCAGAATAGTGTTAGTATTTGAAAACAATCTTAAATGATATATGTAGTTTCCATGTTATGCAGGGTCCTAAAAATGATTAGAGAGATTAAACATGGCAATAAATACTTTTTATTATAAAAGACACATGATAAAGCTTAAATAATTTAGAGGTAGCAATAAGGCATTTGAGAATTATTGGGTGTGAGTGCCCCACTACCAAATGAACAAAACATTAATGGGATTGTTTTTAATGCATATCGGTTCATAAAGTACAAGTCTACTTTGTCTCTGGTTTGCCACATCCAAAACAAAGGATGTATAAGTCATTCTAAGAGCAGAGAAATTCATATTCTGTATGAAACACTTTTTTCTGAGCAAATTTTCAAACGTTGGTGAAGTGAGTGATTGCTATGGCAACTATTATGGTGGTCAGAGCCTTGGAGGTGTGGGGTGTGCCTGTGGGTGGCTCCAGCATCTAGGTTCTGGCTCTGGCTTTGGCTCTGGAGGTTATGGATATGGCTGCTGCTGCCCATGTTACTATGGAAGATGCTGGCCATATGGTTTCTACTGGGAAACCTTGAACAACACTGAGGTCTTGAGGAATTTTTCCTGCTGCCGATTCTTCAGTTCATGGATGCATCTGTCATATGAAATGCTTATCAGCCAAAGCTAGGTTACTATGACAAATCTTCAGATTTCAGCAGGTCAGAAATGACTTGTTAAGAGGCATCTAGATTTGCAGTTTTTATTTTGGAGAGACTTATAAATTGGATAAAGATTTTCTTTTTTCTTTTGGGATACGTATTTTGGCATAACTCACATTTCAAATTGTTCATGGGAGAAGTGTAGAAAGTCTCCTCATACTAAACTCATTGTGATATTTTCAATGCATCATAGTTATTTTTCCCTTATAAATAATTTTATTATGTACAAACATAGTATGTGAGTTTATTTTTTTTATCTATCAATGTTTTGTGTGTGTGTGCTTTGTAATAATTTCCTGATGATGGTGTATTTTTATAATCCCAAGTAACTTTGAGCATATGTAGAATGCCCACCAGTTCTTTTCACATTATACTTAGAGTATGTTAGTGCAGCTGCAGCTACTTTTTACCAGCTTCACATTTTAGGCAGGGGGGTTGTTAGGCCATACTACTGCACCATGTACTACTGCATTACATTTATTCAAAGTCAGTTGTCTTTTGCTGTTTGTGAGCAACAAATAACCCCGTTGTCATGCTGGAAGCTGTGTTCTTAATGGATTTCTCCTATGGTTGCCCTTTTGGCCTCACTTAAATGACAACTGAAGGAGCTCAGAGAGCATGCAGAAACTTACTGACATGCTATGATTAGCAGAGGTACTATTCTTCCTTCCAGATGCCCAGAGTTTTGCCTCTATTTAGAGATATAGCTCTGTATGTCCCTCCATTGGGTACTCAAAGAAACCTTTACCATACTATATATTTTTGTTTCTTAAAATGTCCTGAAAAGACTCTTTTCTGTTGATTAATTTTACTCATCAGTGATAAGGCTACTTATACTTGTGCAACCCAGTTTATGATTCTATTTAGAAAGCAACACTCATAGGCTTTGTTAAGTGTAACCTTGGTCATAACTTTTGATTGTAGAATTCTAGAAGTGACTGCACTGCCCTTGCTTGCTGTGTTTACCTATTGTTGCCCCTCCATTGGTGTTTGCAACTTCATTTTTATCCAACTTTTATTTTCAGATGTGTTCTTCACTGATGCAAAAACATTGTACACATGAGGATTTATGGAACTCTGTTGTACTCTCTAAGGACATTTTTCAGTTATCAGGAGTAATGTCTCTTATATTTGTGTTTAATACTTTTTGGTACTGGGAATCAAACTCAGGACCTCATGCTTGCAAGGCAGGCACTGTGCCACTGAGCTATGCCCCTGATCTGATTTGTTTTTAAATTAATGACAAACTTTAAAAGAGACTGCACTTAGGCTATCAGTGAAAATCTGGCCAATCTGTGTCCATCTACATAATAATTTATGACAGTGTTATCTTTAGCATTAAATTGTGCAAGTCAACCTGGTCAAAGACAAAAGCAAATGGAAGATGAAGAAAAGGAGAAAAATTATGCAAGTTGTCACATTTCACATCCCTCATGAATATAGGATGATCAGGCCAAGGGAAGTAGCATGTGTTGGTGATTCTGAAAATTTGGGCCTTCAACTCTTTATTCCTAAGACAGAAGGAAGAAACATCAGTTATATAATAGATGTGAGATCAGAAGGCTCATACAGTAGAATTGCAGGAGGCCAATACCAAGTGTTTATGAACTTGCAAAATAATTATATATTAGTTTACACATAGTGCAAACAATTCATATTGTTAGACAAACATTGGAAGTATTTAATAAAAATAGCAGTGTGGAGCTCACTGTATTCAGTTTTTTGATGCCTGGTAAAGGTACAGTGGGTGAGGCTTCTCTTGGTAGATTCCCTAAGTGCTTGTTCAATTATCTGCACAAGAGGAATGTGTCATCACATTGTGCCGATCTGTAGAAAGTATCAGAGGTTGAAGGTCAAAAAAGAATTTCTTGAGATCTCAATGGACTTACAAGCCAGATGGAAACTCAGATAATAAATACATAATTACAAGTTTCTGTGTTAAGTTTTTAATAAGACGTAGGCATGCACTGGTTATAATAGGACTTGTCGTGAGGACACTGAATCAATCTTATGTGATAAATGAAACTTCTCCCCAAAGATGCTGCTTGGGCTTGACATTAAGGAAAAGCCGACAAAAGTAATAATTATGCTGTGCTTCATGTGGTACTTTTATTAGAGTGTTCTAGGCACTTCATTTCCCTATAACATAAAACCACATGGAGACTTTTCTAGCAGATATATAAGCCATTCATCATGATCAACAGAGATTCATTTAGAAGCTGGAGACTGAGAAGTACAGTTGGACTTCCTGTGGAGCTCTTCCCATTTCATAAGAAATACCATCATTAAAAATATGATGGCCACAATTTAGGACTTACTGGAAGTTGGGAGAAAAAGAAACTGAAGGGACAATTTTAAGAACCAGTGCCCTGTTTTGCAACCCTTATAAAACCAAAGGAGATAGAACATATAAATAATTTCATCAGAAAGACAAGATCTTTCTAATCATAGGTATTCATAAGAAATATATTAATCAACTATTCATTGTTAACATTACAAAGTATATTTTATTTCATGAAAAATTACTATATGGCATTTTAACATTTTCAAAGATGTTACCTGTACATTTTTTTTTTTTTTTGCGGTACTGGGAATTGAACTCATGACCTCACTCTTGCCAGGCAGGCACTGTGCAGCTGACCTAAATCCCCAGTCCCTACATTTTGTAGATACAGGATACACAATAGTTTCTTGAATCATGTAAAGTGATTTTCATTATTTTCAATATGAGGTTAGACATACCACTCTATCCAATGTCAAATTAAATGACATATTCAGAACCAGAAGATGAATTGTTTGAATTTAGTTTTCTGATCTGTGTAGAGAGAAAAACTCTTCGAAGGACACGTTGCTCTGTTGATAGCTGACAAGTGTGGTGCAGCATCAAAGTCGCATCAATCTTCTATCACACCACAGGGTCATAGAACAAATTTAAGAAGCCCAAACTTTTCTTCCTTTGCTCTCCATATGCATACTAAACTCATGTTCCATCCTCATCACTGAGATTACCCTGTGTGATAGTGAATAAGAAATGCCCAACTAAATTGGATCAATATAGTACCAGGTGTGGCTGAGGGGATTTACTAAAGACAGAAGAGCCACCGAGGGTGGCTGTCCCTTGAATGGTATAAATAGGAAGTGAAAAAGGAAGGCTGGCTTCTTTTTGTTCAGAGGAGCTCCTGTCTTCATCCTCACCTTGGGCATTTTCTCCTGGTTTCCTTCACAGACCCTTCAGTCTCCTGGTATGGACTCACATGGAACACTATGCTGAGCTCCAGACTTTCCACAGGATCCTT